TATATACACAGAGAGAGAGAGAGAGAGAGAGAGAGAGAGAGAGAGAGAGAGAGAGAGAGAGAGAGAGAGGGAGGATAAAAGTTTATTTGAGTAGAGGACCACTGTGCAGGATCAGGTTCTTTCCACAGCTGCAGTGATGTCACCCTGAGTGCGTCTGAGTGGGTATCAGACATATGTGCGGCCGCAGCATGTATGTTTGCGTGACCCACGAGGGGAACAATAAAAAGAAACAATCGCAGCACACTTCACTCTCATATGCAGCTGCAATCCATAACTTAAAACACTAAAAATGATGAGAAGGTTAGTTTTACAAGTTCTGCATGCCATAGTGTGATGTAAAAAAAAAAAGGAAAGCTACATTTTCCATCAATGTCGTAAGAACCACAGGTTAGTTCTGTTGTTGTGAAGGCAGTTGTGGTGTCTCTTATGTTGCCCTCCTTTTTTCTGCAAATCAGAGTATCTCATTTTGTGGTCAACGTATTCTCTTTATTCTTCCTCCATTACTGATAGGACACTCTCTTATGTATCAAAGCACACAAACCAAGAAAAACAGGTTGAGAACTAAGAAAATGACTGCTGCAACTCGTGTTTCTGCACATCTAGTCTAGTAATAACTGAGAAAACTAGTTTATTCCCATTGCATTCATAATGCTATGGCTTGATAGTCAAAACTAGTTTTTAGGATTAAGGAATTGGCTGGGATTAGACACAGCACTAAGCAGTTCTGATTGACATGGGTGCTTGCAGGGGAAAGGATGTTTGCAGAGGTCCTCACAAGGATAGATAAACACGTGTCAAAACGTGTGCTGAAACATAAAAGTCTGAGTGTTTCTTTTTGGCGATAAATGTGAGTCCGATGATATTTCCGTGTAAACTCCACAGGGTATAGACGGATAAATGGATAAAAATGCATATTTACATTTTTCATTGAGTGAGGAAATGTGTGTGAGCCTGTGTATGTGTGTGTTTCTTGCCAAGTATCACATAACAGGAATATAAACACTCAACAGCAGTTTCTTCCTGTATATACAGTAGTGTGAGTGCTTGGAAAGTATTTAGTCTTGTTGATGATGAGTGCAATTCTGAGTGTGCAGCACAGTTAATATGTTAGAATATGAGCCTGATTTTTTGGAAATACAGGATAGGGTAACTATTTGCATCTACAAAACCTATCTGCCATTCTAATAAAGACAGCATGTGTTTCTACTTTTTCTACTTCAACTCTAACAAAACACTTACCTTTGGGATTAAGCTCTGTGGAAATAGGAAGAGAAGAGTTAAATATTAAAAAAGAAAAGTCCTGAAAGATCAGAGAAACCGATTTGGCACAATAAAGAGGCTTTGGTAAACTTGTCTTTTTTTATTCATGTCAGGCCGGTGATAAAGAGTTGTTTTAACAGAGCATGACTCCATAAGAAAATACACGCCTAATGCACGTGGATGTACGTAAACGTTAAACACAGGAAAGTGCTTCTTTCTGACTTTTCTTTCATGTACGCTTAAAAAGTGCAGCTGAAGGAAAATGCAGCCCGTGAATTGAGCAAAACCAACCGCTAGATGAGATAAGCAAATCAAAAAACATTGTTAAATGAGGGTTATAGCGAGGGTTGACGTTTTGAGAATTATATGAAAAAATATGAAATATGCGACAATCCTTGCTGGTTTGACAAAAACAAATAAACACCATTTACAAAAACAAATTTATAAATTAGTTTTGCTTTTCCACTATATAAAAAATGTATTGTTTAAGCAATATGTCAAACAGCTTTCGACATGGATAAAAAATACGAACATTTGAAAAATTCTGAAAAAAACTAGTTATTTTTTCTTTTATCCCTGCTTCTCGGTGCCGTGTTTTCCCAGCTGCTCTGGGATTTAAACAGTCTGTCTTCTGCTTCTCTAACCTTTTAGCCACGACGAAAGAAGTCTGAAAGATTAGGCTCTGATTTGATTGGTCGAAGAGGATTTCCTGCGAAGGTGAATGGGAAGCAGATGGATGAGTTGCAGGCCAATAAAACGGCAACGAGGTGCTGATTCAAAAAATTTCCATCTTAGTCAAGTTAATCAAAGTCATGCTTTCCTGTACAGTCTTTGCCATAGTTATAATCTTCTGCGTCATACACCAGTTCTGTGTTCATCCAGTAGATCAGATTTTAAATAAAATATATCTCTAGCTATAGATATAAAGCTGTGTTTGTTTTTATCGTTGAACATCTGTTCTGTTTTTGTTTTTCGGGGGGGGGTCGCTCAAAATAATGTTTTTTCATTAGCACCTTTTAGTTAAAAATATGTTATCTATTGATGTTTTTAATTAATATTGTTCATTTAAACATTGAATATCACAGGAACAAATATTTTTATAGTATGCACGTTTGTGTTTGTATTGGTTTTTATAGCTTTTCAAAAACAGCTCAGGATTCTGCATCAAATACATAAATGAGATTTTTTTTCAGTTTTGACTATGGGTGGGCTATTAATTTTTACTGGGGGCCATATAAACCACTTCAACTATGTTGGACGTCCAAAACCAACAATACCTTGTACTTAATTCTGCCTAATCATTTTTTTCACCCATCATAAAGAGCAGTTAATTATATATTTTGATTAGCTGCTACTGGTAATTAGAGCAATGACATGCTGTAAATATTTATATAAATATAAGAAATTGTGATATAGGTGATAACGGAAAATATTCCTAAACAAAAACAACCATAACGTTGTTGCATTTCATTTTTAATGTCAGTATTCACAAACAAACATTTCGCAAGATGGTATCAAATTGATACAAAAAGCAGTGAGTGCTTTTAGGTTTATTCAGTGAGAAAAATTCAGTCTGTCTTCTTCAGCTTTAAAAAAGTGCATCAAAATTTGGCTGAATGTCTGAGGTGGTGACACGAAAAACAGCAGAAAGGTGATCATCAGTGACAGAAGATCTGAATCTGTTGAAATTCATCACTAAGAATATCTGTTTGTATATGTAGGTAGATGCAGAGCACTAATCTAAAATCTGTTTTGATTGGAGTTTTTTTATTATTATTATTTAAAAAAGGATATATAAGTGTGTGTATTTGTGTTTATTCATTGGTGGCCTGGGCAGAAGTCACCCACAGGCCACCAGCTGTCCACCCCTGGTTTAGACTGACAGTATATTGGCTTCATCAATTGTGATTTTTTTCATTCACCAACTGACTGAAAAGGCAACAATGTTTTGTTTCATCATTAAAAGACAAAGAATTTGAACTCAAACTTAACCACAAAGCAATAAATCTCTGCAATTTCTTCCCTCTGAGAAGTATTAAGTAATCCTGAAATGTAGACTCCCCTCATTACTTTGTCTTAGGCTAAGACTATAACTGTACACTGCCAAATAACAAAACCAGAAAGTAAAATTGGAGGAGGAAAAAAAAGATTAAACTTGATCTACCTCTGATACTGCTCTGAGCTGGCAAAAAAATAACATTTTCACACATTCACGAAGCAGCATGGATGAAGCGGGAGGCAGAGCATGCAGCCCATAACTTTAACAAATGAAAACGTTGACACTTTCACAATATCTTAACTTAAATTACAGAAAGGCAAGAAAATACATATTTTATTCCCCCATAAGAGTATTTAGTCAGTACTTTTCTTTGCATGTTCTATAGCCTGCAGTTCATTGTTTCCCGTTACAGAGTGCTCACTGACAACAGAGGACAAGAACATCATGGCAGAAACGAGGAACACCTCAAATAAACTCCTCGCAAATAAATCTTAGATCTGGTTGTCAAAAGAAGGAGGCTCCAACAAAACACTGCAGCTTTAGGAGACATCAGCATGTGACGATGTTGGTCCCTCTGGAAGCTCAGAAAACAGTAGAAAGCGGTCAAGACTGCCAGCTAACTTCTTCAGTTTCCACACAATCCACCTAGCAACCAATGAATCATGTTTGGCCGTGTTTTATGGAAAGTATCAGTACAGTTGCAACTCTGTGTTCACAGCTGAGATGAAAATGCCCATTGTGTTGGTGAACTAACAATGTTCTCTAAATGCCAACTTGATCACTTGATCCCTCTCAAGTGTGTTTGTGTAAAGCCCACTCTCAGAGTCTTAGGAAAATCACAGAGGGGCACTAATGAAATTCCTTCTAGATTGTAACGACTCTTGCCATCATCAAGCCTCCTTTGAAGGTTTTAAGAAGTCAACAGCCGTCTTAAATGTCAAATCCTTTGTAGAGCTTAAAGAAGGACACAGTAGCCTCAGGGTGGGACTGGGTTATGTTGGACGGATTGATGTGAAGGCGTAATCATCACCCCTGGGTGGCAGTGAATACAAAGTGACGCATTCCTCCCGAGCCAGAACTGCATTTTCGGGGATAAGAGAGGTGGTGAGGCATTACTGCAGATTAGCAGTGAAGGAACACACAACTAAAATAATAATAATAATAATAATATTAACAACAGCCCTTTCCCACATTTGCACACATGATTTTAAGGACCACTTTGGATGTCACCATGGGATATGACTCTGCAAGATGGTTCACTGCAGAACTTACCACAAATGTTTCATTAAACAGCTGACAGCTATGTACTGTAAATATGAATGTTTGTTCACATTCAGTAGTTCACAAGACAGCAGCAAAAGCTGAATAAACAAAACACTGAAGATTCTGGGTTCACATAAACGCCTACAGGGCCTTGGTTTTCATGTCTCCAGTGCATCGTAGATTGCACGTATGTTACTGATTTATGTTCATTTAGAAATGAAACCGCATTTAGTAAAACATGAACAGTGTTTCAGGGTAATGTTGAATGAGAATAATTAGCATTCCAGCTGCATTGGCTGCTACTAAATTCACAGTATTGTATATAATTAGACAAGTTTCTAAAACTGGTTTTCAAAGCCTGAAATGACGCAATATGTTTTAGGATTTTGAAATTCTGCTGACATCATTTGGTTAAGTGTGAAAACAGGTAATTTGCTTTCAACTTTCAGAAAGTCTTAATTTTTGGAATCGTATCTTTGTGTCCGTATTTTTGATTTCTCCTTTTATCTCAATTACCATATTTATTCATGTATAAACCGACCCCCCTTTTTTGAGCTTAAATAGCATAAAAATTTAATACTCGAACTACCTCCAATTTCATACAGACGTCAAGATTTTTTAGCCTTTGCAGTCTTTATACATGTCAGTAAAATGATCATTGGACTGTTCATTTTATTTTAACAACATATGTACTAAAAGGTATTTTGACAACAAATATATATCAGCAAACTATGATTTTTAGCATCATATGAATTCTGGCATTTTACACGTAGTCCACCAGGATGCACCAACACAAAAGTCAGAGACTTCATATGAGATTTGGACCATCTTCTGGGGCAAAGGCAGATTACTTTCTACTCGCGAGCGCCCCCTCTGGTGGGGAAACTTTTTTCAGGGATA